ATCCCATTTTCAATAAAATTGCGGTCTTACCTTGACTTGAAGATGAAGTCCATTTGCCTATCCTTCTGGACAAACATTTCTATAACTTTTTTGTAAAAGTCCTCCTTATCTTCTTGTAGTTTCAAAAGTCTATCATAAATCTAATCGATAGATTTATGATTGGAAAATTATAAAAGTAGGGTAGACATGTGGATGTTATCCGGCTGAACAAAACGTGCATTTATCTAACAGGTTCGTTTCCCACAGATCTTATTTCGAGCTATTTTCTCAAATCCTATGGAGAAATCTCATTGCATTTTTGTCGAGGGAAGCCATGCGCAGCTTACTTCCGGGTTTTAGGACGCGTCACTGCAGCTCTCTCGTCTCCTCTTCACACACCACACTTTTCACGGCACACGTACAGCCAATCAGCTCTCTGAATTATGAGATGGCGTTTGGTGGGTATGTCAGCTCAGTACCCCTATGGCGATTATTTTTTTGCCGCACACATTGAATAGAAAAAGACTCTTGAGCATGCGCAGTGTAGCTTTTACACTACCCATTAGACAGTGAGAGAGAGGGGCAGATCGGGGCTTGACCCACGTCACTCAAAACGGCTCAATAGGCACACTGTAGACACTAATTAGAAGAACACAGACTAAAACAGCAATTTACAGACGAATCAGACGATTAAACATGATCGTAAAATATATTTTAAGATGTATTTCTTGCATTTTTTTGTAATTATTATTTTAATACTTTCTGCTGACACTAGGTGGGGCTGTGCCACCTGCCCCTAATGACCAGTCGCCACTGCTAGTGGAGCGAGGGGCAGGGCGAAACTCACGGAAGTGATTTCAAAACAAAAGCACTCGTTTGCTAAAATCCACTTGAATTTAAGCACTGCAGTATCCGGCTGAAGCAAGGGTGATCATATTATAAACAAGGTGAATTTAGCGATCACAACGAAAACGGCCAAGACACATATTGAGCCCAGAAAATGGATATTATTAAGGGCTGTAAATATAATAAGCCTATGTCTAAAATGGACAACATTGTAAGGAGATTTAAACTATACAGCGATTCTGCACTGCGGCCACTCAGCCGCCTCTCGCGTTTGTTTTTTCAAATCAGCTGCTCTTCATTTTTTGTCCTGCTATATTTGATGATCGATACAAATATTCTTTACCACAAGTTCTTAATAAAACTGACACTGTTGGACTCGGTACTAGTTTGACTGCTACCAGAAATAAAATGTAGTACTTTTACTGTGTACTTTGTGAGTAATCCTCTGTCAAAGTCCCCTCCATATAGTCAATATCACTATAAAGTAACTTTGGTGTCCCCATCAGAATCACTCAGTTATCATGAAAATGTAGCAGAATAAGGAAACTCTGAGGTCTTATTATAAAAGGCCAAACATTTACACACATATCAGTACAATGATAAGTCTCTTGAAATGTGTTTCCTTCATTTTATACCGTATTTTTCATTGGATGTACTCGATTTTGGCATGTCCCACACACTGCTCTGCTAACTACAGTGTGTGTACTAAGTGATTAAATGATACTAACTTTTAAAAATAATGATATGGTTTTATTGTCCACAACGAGTTATTTGATAAAACGAGTCATTTTGATCATACATTCTATTTTCATAATAATATTGAACATTTTGCATGTGTCCCTGACATTGCTGGGTAGGTAAGTTTGAGAAACCTGCTCGAGATACACTTTTTGTTATATTCCATGGAATGCTCTTAACATCCCGATAGCAATGAATATCTGAAGTGCTTTGACAAAAAATCCATAAAAAAATGTCATCTGTGGAAGCCGTAGTACTGTAAAAAGCACGACCAATCATCTGAGCCGGCCCGGCTAAAATAACTGGATGGCCTACCTGCCTGTCAGCCTTCCATCTGTGCACAAACTTATCTCGTGCCCTCATTGGTCATGTGCGCGTTCGTGTGTGTTGGAGGAGGGGCTCTATAAGGAAGTGGCAGATTTTCTCCGGTTGTGTATTTTCAAATTCTAGCGATCTCGAGCCGGTTTCTCAAACTTACCTACCCTACCTTTAACATGTCCACTCTGTCATAGTGAAATGTCAATTAATATAAAAACCTTTCAGAAATTCGAAATATATTTGTTAAACACTACCCCTGCTGAAAACACCAGCTTAGACCAGCTCAATTGACCAGCCTGACCAGCCAGTAGATATTAGGCCGGAATGGTTGGCTGGTTTAGAGGGGTTGTGGACACGTCCTGGCCAGCTAAAGAAAACAGCATAGACCAGCATAGTATGCTGGGCTGGTCACCAGCATCCATCGATCACCAGCTTATGTTTAATAATAGTATTAAATGTACCATGCTGGAAGCTTACCAGGATTCCAGGTGACCAGCATACATTGTTTAAATACTGGTATGATTATTTAAACCAGAGAACATAAATATATTACAAAGATTCATTGTGTCATGTATTCTGGTATCTACCAAAATAAAGACATTGTATAGTGTTCATAACAGTATTTTAATGTAATAAATAGCAATAAATAGCTAGTTAATATAATAAAATACACAGTAACAATACAATAATTATACGAATAACAACCAACCTGCAAATCAACCTACACATCAAAATAAATATATTATCTAAAACAGGTGCATTTGATTTAAAATAAAAGTAATAAATAGAATTCAATATTGAAATGGTAACAAAAACAGTAACACTATGTATGATAAGAAAAAGGCTTCCCAATCTGGCCTGCGTTTCTGTCTGTTGAAGCCACTTCTTCAAGCAAACTGAAAAGAAATGTACAGATATAAGTACACTGTAAAAAGAAAAGTTGACATTTACGTTAACATTTGGGCTGCTGTGGTTCCCAGAACTTGACCGTTAAAGTAAAATACATGACAAATGACAGTTGGTTGGCATCTAGACGTTACAGTCAACAATTGCTTATGGTGAATTACAATGGCAAAAACAAATAGAGCTAGTGTACACGGTGCAGCTGTATTATCTGGGAAATAGAAGAATCGGATCAGGATTCGGTATTGGCAGACAATCAATATCAAATTAATCGGATCATTATTAGCATCTGATCACCTTTGTCGACTTGCAGCCTAAATACAAAGATAACTCCACTCCTCTCCTACCACTCTTACCTCTAATGAGCCTTGGTAGAACTAGTGTCCGAGTCATAGGGTCCAGAACTGACTGAAGACATGTGGAACAGAGTCATGGGGTCCAGAACTGACTGAAGACATGTGGAACAGAGTCATAGGGTCCAGGACTGACTGAAGACATGTGGAACAGAGTCATAGGGTCCAGGACTGACTGAAGACATGTGGAACAGAGTCATGGGGTCCAGAACTGACTGAAGACATGTGGAACAGAGTCATAGGGTCCAGGACTGACTGAAGACATGTGGAACAGAGTCATAGGGTCCAGGACTGACTGAAGACATGTGGAACAGAGTCATAGGGTCCAGAACTGACTGAAGACATGTGGAACAGAGTCATAGGGTCCAGGACTGACTGAAGACATGTGGAACAGAGTCATAGGGTCCAGGACTGACTGAAGACATGTGGAACAGAGTCATGGGGTCCAGAACTGACTGAAGACATGTGGAACAGAGTCATAGGGTCCAGGACTGACTGAAGACATGTGGAACAGAGTCATAGGGTCCAGAACTCACTGAAGACATGTGGAACAGAGTCATGGGGTCCAGGACTGACTGAAGACATGTGGAACAGAGTCATAGGGTCCAGGACTGACTGAAGACATGTGGAACAGAGTCATAGGGTCCAGGACTGACTGAAGACATGTGGAACAGAGGACAGGCATGGTTCCATGTTCAGGAAACTGGAACTTTGAACAGGTGTTTTCATCTTTCCTGCCTGAAGATTCTCAAGTTCTTGATCAGGTGTTTGATGTGGGCTGGCATGATGCTTTCTGCAGCGATGAATAAAGAAAACAAAGAAAGCATTTTTAATAATAGTAATGATGGTAACAACAATAATATTAGTATAACTATTTATATAGCACTTACACAATTGCAAAGTGATTCTCACAACAAAAATAAAGAACAAAACAATATCAACAATAAAAAAAACTAATGATTATAGGAATGTTAAGAGACAAAGAAATGATAAACATTCTGAGAGGCCGACTACAGAAGGTAGACTCAACTTGATGACATCAATGAGCAGTCCCAATACAAGCTGTGGTATGAAAATAAATAGAATAGGTCCAGATTTCTTCTATTTTGTGTTCGATGATTTGTTTTATTGATTGCTGATGGATGTTAAGATGTGTTTTACAATTATAACAAACAGATTATTGTAATTGGAATAAAAAAGATGGCAAATCATAGTTTTAATAAAATCACTAGCAATATAGGGTTTATTCAACAGCAGTAAAGCATTAAAAGTTGCTAAATTAACGTACACTGAACTGTAAAACAACTTACCACTATTTAGGAAAGGCTCTGATCAGGAGGGTTGACTAGTTGTACAGCAAAGAGGTGGAGGAGGTCTCTGTCATGTACAACCATTGGTAAATGTTACACCTGAAAGAAAGATAAGGAAATAAGACAACACAAGAGGACAAACATCCTCTTAAGTAAAATAACAAATCAAGTCAAGCTTCAACCTGTGAAGCCCCGAGCCTATCTTTTCAGTCTTTACTATGCACTGTTGGAAATTACATTCCAAAGGCTACCCCCCCCCCCTTCCCTCCTTTTTTTTTTAACTCAACTGTTCTCCACTTAAAAACATGTTTCTTCTTGTTCCACATTTTTCTTCTTGTTCCACAGTTGAATGTTTGACTTTCACTGTGCAGAATGATGTACAGAGTTTAACACAAGAAGGCCACATTAATGGCTCATTTTGGGCATCTTTATTCAGTGGCCGCATGCAGGTAGAGTGGATCAAAACCAGTCTGTTCAACTGGTCATTTCCCCCACATGGGAAAAGGACCTCTGATTATTTACATAATTTCCTTTAGATTTATTGCATTTATGAGGCCATTCAATTACATTTCACAACGTGTCCACCCTGTCACGCCCGAGGTCCACCCTGTCATGCCCGAGGTCCACCCTGTCACGCCTGAGGTCCCTGTCACGCCCGAGGTCCCACCCTGTCATGCCCGAGGTCCCTGTCACGCCCGAGGTCCACCCTGTCATGCCCGAGGTCCACCCTGTCACGCCCGAGGTCCACCCTGTCATGCCCGAGGTCCACCCTGTCACGCCTGAGGTCCCTGTCACGCCCGAGGTCCACCCTGTCATGCCCGAGGTCCCTGTCACGCCCGAGGTCCACCCTGTCATGCCCGAGGTCCACCCTGTCATGCCCGAGGTCCACCCTGTCACGCCTGAGGTCCCTGTCACGCCCGAGGTCCACCCTGTCACGCCCGAGGTCCCTGTCACGCCCGAGGTCCACCCTGTCACACCCGAGGTTCACCCTGTCACGCCCGAGGTCCACCCTGTCACGCCCGAGGTTCACCCTGTCACGCCCGAGGTTCACCCTGTCACGCCCGAGGTTCACCCTGTCACGCCCGAGGTTCACCCTGTCACGCCCGAGGTTCACCCTGTCACGCCCGAGGTTCACCCTGTCACGCCCGAGGTTCACCCTGTCACGCCCGAGGTCCACCCTGTCACGCCCGAGGTCCACCCTGTCACGCCCGAGGTTCACCCTGTCATGCCCGAGGTCCACCCTGTCACGCCAGAGGTTCACCCTGTCACGCCCGAGGTCCACCCTGTCACGCCCGAGGTTCACCCTGTCACGCCCGAGGTTCACCCTGTCACGCCCGAGGTTCACCCTGTCACGCCCGAGGTTCACCCTGTCACGCCCGAGGTTCACCCTGTCACGCCCGAGGTTCACCCTGTCACGCCCGAGGTCCACCCTGTCACGCCCGAGGTCCACCCTGTCATGCCCGAGGTTCACCCTGTCACGCCCGAGGTTCACCCTGTCACGCCCGAGGTCCACCCTGTCATGCCCGAGGTTCACCCTGTCACGCCCGAGGTCCACCCTGTCACGCCCGAGGTTCACCCTGTCATGCCCGAGGTTCACCCTGTCATGCCCGAGGTCCACCCTGTCATGCCCGAGGTCCACCCTGTCATGTCATTGTCCATCCTGTCATTTTCATGTTTTATGAAAATAAACAAAATATTTTCACAAGTTACCAAAACCTTTTGTGTGATTCCTTTATAAAAAAAATGAGGGCCAAATAGTAATGTTTGAAAGTTTGACCAGATATCTTTGTTTTTAGATTTTATTTAGAAAAGAAAGTGCAACTCTCGCAGATTGTATAGAGAAATAAATAGTTTGCCATAATTTCATTATTATCCAAATACTTTTTCCATTAACTGAAATATATTGTTGAGAAAGGGACTAAATAGCTTTCTGAAAATGTACATTTTATAATCACTATGTAATTACAATGTATTTACTCTACTTTGAATTAGTCCATGACAGGGTGGTGTTTGCATGTACATTGTCTGCTTGCAGTTCATTTATAAAAAGTGTGGGAGCTTGACCAACATCCATTTCTAACAGCAGAACATATACTTAATACAATGAATATGAAGTTCAATGGAAATGGGGAAGTCTCAAATGCACCGTATGGTGATATTGACTCAGTACATAATGCATGTTTTCTGCTGTCTTTGATGAATGATACAAATACACTTTTACCATTAGTTCTTAATACTGATACTGTTTGATTTTGTATTAGTTAGCCTACTACTAACAATACATTGAAGTACTTTTACTGTGTATTTTTTGAGAAATACTCTGTCCCCTGCTGAGAACAAAATCAAGTCACTTCTGCTAAGTTTGATGAGGGAATTCCTTTTTGTTGCCTTTAGTTCTTCGTGAGATTGATCCTGTTGGACTCGGTACTAGCGAAACTACCCCCACAAGTACTACGGAGTACTTACTGTGTACTTTGTGAGTAATCCTCTGTCAATGTCCCCTCCTGAGAACAAGAATGCATGTTTTTCTGCTATTTTGAATAAGCGTTAAAAGAACGTTCTTCATGAGACTGATATTGTTGGACAGAGTATTTTAAGAGGATATGATGGACATGATATCAGCATTACTTCCAGTCAGTACTGCAGCAGCAGCATTTTACACCTTGGAAAGTCTTTAGAGACTGGCCTGGACAGCTGGTCTATCCTTCAGCACACTGACACACTCTGTCACTCTTGTTGGCCTCTTATGACAATGCTGTCTTTTAATATATGATTATTTCTCTGCTCCTAGTTCATTCCTCGCAGAGTTTGTTCGATCAGTCCCAGTCATTGCGTGTCTGTCAATGGGGCTTCGAAAAATGTGTCCAATTCAACAAAATATTTTTTTGTGAGTGAAGGCCAGAGCTAAACTATAGATTGTTTGATTGTGTAATTACAAGGGAAAAGAAATCCACATCCTCCTACTAAACTTATTTTATGTACTTTTATAATATGTAATAATAACTGTTATAATTATATACTTACTTGTATTACAACATTTGCATGTTAACTATATGCTGGATATCTTCCCCAGCCTCAAGGAAATACAATAAAATAAATGGATTCATAATTTAAAAAAAACTGAACATTAGATAAAAATGTATAATTTAATAATGTTGTGTGCAAACATTTCAAATTTAAATATAAAATGAGAAAAAGGTTAATTTGGAAATGATTTCTAAATTATAGTAAATTATTTAAAAATGTTTAGTCAATAAAGGTTTCCTGCCTAAAATAGTTGAAATAGAACGTAAACTGATATTTTAATAAATATTGCAAAAAAGGGCTCCAAAAAAGGCATATATATATAACCTGGTCGGCTTAGCCAGTGTGTCTTTCTTCAAGCACCACAAGATTCAGAGTCCAAATGGTTCAGGAAAAGGACTTTACATTGTATTATACTTAAAGACAGGACTATTCAGTTAAGAGAAGAGAAAAAAGGAAAGCAAATTGTTATAATGGGTGATGTAACATTAATGACAGACATAATATGAGGTCCTTGGCACTCAGACTCAGAGGGGTCATTTTGTGATCATGGGGCATCACCCTTGTATACAGCATCAGGACAATATCATATGGAGTCAGACACTGGAAGTGTGCTGTAGTAGTAGACATTTTATTTCTGGTAGCAGTCAAACTAGTACCGAGTCCAGTGTCAGTTTTATTAAGAACTTGTGGTAAAACATATTTGTATCACTGAAGAGCTGCTGATTTGAAAAAACAAAATGGAGAGACGGCTGAGTGCCCGCAGTGCAGAATCGCTGTATAGTTTAAATCTCCTAACAATGTTGTCCATTTTAGACATAGGTCTATTATATTTACAGCCCTTAATAACATTCATTTTCTGGGCTCAATATGTGTCTTGGCCGTTTTCGTTGTGATCACTAAATTCACCTTGTATTATCACCGTTCCAAGCACACGAGTGCTTTTGTTTTATAAAGAAAAACAATTGGACGGTAGATACACGGATTGTTTGTCCAGCAGATCTACCATATTGTTGTTTGCAGTAATCAAGTCTTGAAATGACATCAGGCCAGAACAAACGTTTATGATACTTCCAAGTTTAGTTCAGCAGGATAATCTCCTCATATTAACACCACTTAGTAAAAAGCTACTATACTATAAGGATCGTTGAAAACCAATGATATCTGTATTTGATGAAACTTGAGATGACATTTGTTTTTTGTTTTTTTAAAGTCTTCTTTTGTTTCTGGTGAATACTTTTGTCATTGAGGAATGTTGAGCTTTAGGGAGTTTCCTCAGAATAGGTTTATCCTTGTTAGTTTTGATTAGTACACGGAAAAAGGAGGCCGAGCCCATCTGGCACACAAGCTGTGAGCAGGGTGTGTCTGTTATTATAATAGCTATTGTCCTTCATGAAGGTACATACACAATGATGGATTCAAATACTTTACTATACTATTTAGATACTTGTTGGATAAATAAGTCTTAAGGATTACCAAGTAACTTCACATTTGTATTGAACCACAAGTACCTGACAGCTTTAGATACTAAACAAATGAGTTTATAAAATATGATGTAATTCATTAATTAAACTTCCCATTTCCCATTCTCTTGCACAATTGTATCTGTTTTATTGTTCTATGTCCTATATATATATTCATGTTGCATTTCCGTTTTTCATTGCCATTCACTGTAGCTCCTGTGCACATGATGATAAAGCCTTGAATGTTGAATCTTGAATCCATTTTAAGAAATGAAATGGCTTCATACGGTTCCCGACAGGTGCACACACGGCCTAAAACACTTCCATTAGGAGAAACACGCTGCAGATTCAGAAACGACACAAATATAAAAACGCAAATGTGCTAAAACACATGAAACTTCACACACTTGACAACACATGGGCAGCATTTTGAAAATATTCACATACTAAAGAATACAATAAATAACTAAATAACCATCCACACATTTTAAAAAAGAGTAAAAAACGATGTGCAAATTGAAAATGTGCATTACAACAGGTGGAACAGATCACAATTAGACTTCTTACTTTTCATCCAGACCACAGCGAGAAACTGTATAATTGAACTAAACTATAAGATAAGATAAGATAAGAAATACTTTATTGATCCCAATTTGGGAAATGTTTGCGTTGCAGCAGCATAAAAAGACAAGGCAGTAAAAGTCCAGTTATCCAAGAGAAGCTAACTACCTCTATCTCCAACCCAGTCTCACGGCATTTCGTGTTATTAGTCACGAAATTAATTTAATCTATTGATTCGTGTTCACCAACACGATTTTCACATTTTTTTCGTGTCACACAGAACGATTTTAAAAGCAATGTATTTCTATTGGTAGTATGTTTCGTGCCTGCAACACGTCTTTTTGTCCGGTCGGGTCTTGGAATACCAGAAGCTGTGTGGTTCATAAAAACATGTTCTTACTCAATATCTTACCCTAAGCCTAACCCTATCCCTTTTATTTTAAATTGTATAATGTGTGAGTTTTTTTGCCGTCAGTGAGGAAAAGAAATGTCTCAGAGCCTCAGAATACTGACATCTGTATTTTATGTCATCTTTTTTTCCTTCTAATTTGTTATTATTTGGTGCAGGCACGAAACACACTACCAATATAAATACATTGCTTCTAAAATCGTTCTGTGTCAGAATACTGAAATCTGTATTTTTTTAAATGTCTTTTTCCTTCTAATTTGTTATTATTTACATTGCTTTTAAAATCGTTCTGTGTGACACGAAAAAAATAGCGAAATCGTGTTGGTGAACACAAATCAATAGATTAATGTCGTGAATATAACACAAAATGCCGTGAGACTGGGTTGCTATCTCACAACAACATGCCAATTATATAAAGCCAATATAACAAGCTTGAGTCGTGTGAAGGGAAGGTGACTTGCAGACCTGACTGCTGAGAGCACACACACACGCACACACACACACACACACACACCACACACACACACACACACACACACACACACACACACACACACACACACACACACACACACACACACACACACACACACACACACACACACACACACCACACACACACACACACACACACACACACACACACACACACACACACACACACACACACACACACACACACACACACACACAGGTGCATTGTTGTGCAATAAAAACTCCTCCCCAGGGCATCACTAAATCACTCCAGTATGATTGATGGCATTAATGTTGACAGCTGTTATTATCAAATCAAATCAAATCAGGTTTTATTTATATAGCACATTTAAAAGCGATTTTTGGTCGAGCCAAAGTGCTGTACATGTAATAAAAACACATTACTACAATCACAATAAACGACAATAAATTACAACAGATATATCTTAAAAACAAAATAAAAATAAAACACACGGAAAAGTCAGGAGTCGTGCTCCGCTCTAACTAGAAAGCCAGAGAGAAGAAAGTGTGTTATTATCATCCAGTAGTAACTAGATTGATATCAAAGTAGCACCTTATAACAGAGGCCCTACGCAGCTGTTTTCGTAGCCGGATGTATGACTACATGGATGACGCTCATGAGACACTGTGTTGAAGTTATGAACGCTATGTTCCTAAGATTGGCATGATGACACAGCCCCTAGAGAGATAGGCATATGACTGTCATGTGTATTGCTTACGCAGGCCTTAGCTAATCTTAATTTAAATGTCAGAATACTGCTTGAACCGGTATTCTTCCATCTTGTTGACTGTAACACCCTCTATTGTATATCAGCATATCAAGAACTCTACTCAGGGAACTATTTGTCCCACGCAGCTCTGTGTGTGATGACTACTTCCATTCTTGCAAGGATAATAAATACATGGATCCTGATTTTGAAGACCAAGCCGGTGACGAGTGACATTTTTCTAACAATGTGTGTCTTATAAAACTTATAAACTACTACAACAACTCCTGCACTATTGCCCGTTTTATATTTTAGTCAAGATGGTACTTTTCGTACGGCATGCTGAAGCCTGCAAGTAGCTTTCGACCACAATCCATTTGTGCATTGAATTACCAGATGCTGACACTTTGTAGCTCAGTTTGTAAATTGATCTGTGCTTTTGTTAGAGGTGGACTTGCATAACGGGTGTTTTCCCCACTTCCTGATTTGCTTCACTTGAGCCGCTCAAGTGAAGCAAATCAGGAAGTGGGGAAAACACCCGTTGAGTGTGGTGTGGAGGCAGACGCAGGGAAATCATAAGAGAGACGGAGAAAGTGTTGATAGGAGAGAGAGAGAGAGAGTGGAGAAAACTGTAATTATGTTTTCTTGTCCCTCCATCGTCCTACTGAGATTAGCATTTGTGGAAAGAGATGAATCAGCGTTTCCTTTGAGGAGAAAAATAACAGCTTGAAGGGACAAAAAAAAACTCACTTTATCTAATCTGAAACGTGTTAACATGCAAGGACAGAAAATGCCATTTAAATATAATTAAGATATAACACAGGTATATGTTTGTCTACCATATTGTTGTTTGCAGTAATCAAGTCTTGAAATGACATCAGGCCTGACCAAACGTTTATGATACTTCAAAGTTTTGTTCAGCAGGATAATCTCCTCATATTAACACCACTTTATGATGTAAAAAGTTAATGTTGGGCTATAAAGGAACTACAGCACGGTCACATGACTTCAGGTCAACAACGCTAAGCTAAAGGTGGCTAATGTTGGGCTATAAAGGAACTACAGCACGGTCACATGACTTCACGTCACCACCGCTAAGCTAAAGGAGGCTAATGTTGGGCTATAAAGGAACTACAGCACGGTCACATGACTTCACGTCAACAACGCTAAGCTAAAGGTGGCTAATGTTGGGCTATAAAGGAACTACAGCACGGTCACATGACTTCACGTCACCACCGCTAAGCTAAAGGTGGCTAATGTTGGGCTATAAAGGAACTACAGCACGGTCACATGACTTCATGTCACCACCGCTAAGCTAAAGGCGGCTCATGTTGGGCTATAAAGGAACTACAGCATGGTCACATGACTTCACGTCACCACCGCTAAGCTAAAGGCAATAATATTTGAACATATCATTGGTTGCTCCCTCTCCTCTGACGCTCTCTTGGTGTTTATCGATGTTTTTCTGCTGCTGTGTCATTATTCCCATCAGGAGAAAAGCCTCTAATAACACCATCAGGTTCTCCAGCAGTGAAAAGAGTCAATAAAAAGTCTAATTGAAACCCGGGCTTCTTCACTGTGATTATGAGCGCATTACTGACTATCACTGCTAAATTATTCTGGATGTTATACAGCAGCAGTGGTGGCAGGGAACAATGTAATGAAGTGCATTAACTGGATTTTACTTTTGTGTTAAATGGTCGGTACAGAGACGGAATAAGGATATTTAGTTGTAGGAAAGTGACAAAAATAAAACTTTTTAAAAGCTACTTATACTGTTGATACATTTGGAGGAAAAAACATGTGATAATTAGAAAACATTTAATATTTAGAGAAACAATACATCATATTTAAAGAAATACGTGGTAATATTTATTAAATGAAAAAAGTATTTAATTTGAGAAAAAACGAAAGTGTGGTATTTCAAGAAAATTAGTATTAATATTTAGAGGAAATAAATGTAATAATTTGAGAAAAAATGCATTAAATATGAAAGAAAAACCCATGCAGATAAAAAAAAAGTGTAATAATTTGTTGTAATGTTTCGTATGGCAGTGTTTCAATAAAAAGTTGTAACAGTTTGACAAAAAACACATTAAAGAAATAAGGTAAAAGTAAAGTGAAACTTATTGTTGACTTAAATACAATTGTATATATTATAAACTTGTTAGGCCTTAACATCTTTCATATGTATATCACCATTCAAACATGTTTAAAACAATTAAGAAACCCCACACAGCTCAGTAAACACTGAAATGTGGACTTTATTTGATAATTTCAGTAAAAAAATAATGTTTTCTAACCTTTTCTGTCCTCAGATCTGACTATGAGATGGAGTATGACAGATACCCTGCGGATCACTACAACAGGTACCCAACATCTAATCTTTTATTAACTTGTTCCACTTGCCCTACACAGGACACAAGCTCATATGGCAGTATTCATGTTGTGACACTTTGACAATTAAATCAAATAAAAACCCTCAAAACAACAACATTGGATTCTCACTTTAATCTCAGAAATCTCTTTTTCTCCGATTTCTTTTAAACTTTTGGTCACATCCCAATTTATTTTTCTCATTGGCCCTAACCCTCTTCAGAATAGATGCAGCAAACTTAAAAATAATACATACATTTAGTATAACTATGTGACCCCTGACCTAATACAAGGAGGTCACTTTGTCCCCTGACAAAGACAGGAGTTTTTTAAAGAATGTCATTGTCTTTGCTGAACAAAGGGAAAAGAACGAATGGAATTAATGAGGGAAACACCTTCTGTCAAACTGTCATGATGAAGCTCCGCCCACCCTGTGGTTCATATGAGTTGAACAAGGAAACACAGGATTGCTCAATGAGGCGACACCTTTATATATACAGCCTATAGACGACACACACACACGCACACACACACACGGAGAGACGGACAGGCTTACCGTCAGCTAACAGGGAGTGAATGCTGTGTTTTCTTCTTCACTCGGAGACTAAATGGCTTCAAGGTTAGAGGAAGATCTCTCCTGTCCCATCTGCTATGAGATTTTTAAAGATCCTGTCATCCTGTCATGCAGCCACAGTGTTTGTAAAGACTGTCTGGAGTACTGGTGGGTGGAGAAAGCAATCCACAACTGTCCTCTTTGTAGGATTATTTCAACATCAGAGGTACGTAGCAACCTGGCTTTAAAGAACCTGTGTGAGAGTTTCTCACTGGAGACGAATCCGATAAAATCATATCCACGATCAGAAGGTGAGGGTAATCTCTGCAGACTGCACTCTGAGAGACTCAAACTCTTCTGTCTGGATCATCAGCAGCCCGTGTGTGTCGTCTGCAGAGATTCAGAGAAACACAGCGACCACAGATTCAAACCCATCGATGAAGCTGCACGACAGCACAAGGAGGAGCTCCAGGAAACTCTGCAGCCCTTACAGAAGAAGTTAAGGGATTTAAAAAAAGTTATAATGAGTTGTAATCCAACATCAGAACACATACAAGTCCAGGCCCGACGCACAGAGAGGCAGATTAAGGAGCGGTTTAAAGAGCTTCACCAGTTTCTAGAAGAGGAAGAGGAGGCCAGGGTGGCTGCACTGAGGGAGGAAGAGGAGCAGAAGAGGAAGATGATGGAGGAGAAGATGGAGGCTGTGAGCAGAGAGATAGCAGCTATTTCACTCACAGTCAGAGCCACAGAGGAGGAGCTGAGAGCTGAAGACGTCTCCTTCCTGAACAACTACAAGGCTGCAGTGGAGAGGCTGCAGCGCCCCCTGCTGGAGGATCCACAGCTGCCCTCAGGAGCTCTGATAGACCAGGCCAAACACCTGGGCAACCTCAGCTTCAACATCTGGAGCAAGATGAAGGACATAGTGTCATATCACCCTCTCATCCTGGACCCAAACACTGCCTATCCTGGACTTGTGGTCTCTGAAGATCTGACCACGGCGAGCGAATCAGATTGTCAATATCTTCCTGATAATCCAGAGAGGTTTGGAGAACAATGGTCTGTCCTGGGCTCTGAGGGCTTTAACTCAGGGACGCACTGCTGGGATTTCGACGTTGCAGAGAGTGATGACTGGGATGTCGGTGTGATGGCACAGTCTGGTCAGAGGAAGGGAGATACAAAGTCTGGATTATGGATCATAAATCTCCATTATGGTGAATACGCAGCGGGGTCACCACCAGGTCCAGAAACTCCTCTCCCATTTAAGAAGAAGCTCCAGAGGGTCAGAGTGAATCTGGACTGGGATGGAGGAAAGTTGTCGTTCTCTGATCCTGAGACTAACACACACTTACACACCTTCACACACACTTTCACTGAGAGGCTGTTTCCATACATTAACACTGGGAATGGACTCCCAGTGACGAGCTCACCAGCGAAGGTCTCTGTGGCGGTACAACAACAGGAATAGAAGATGATGACACAATTATCAAGTATATTTCAAGACGTACTGAACTTTATTCTCTGTGTCTTTGAGGAACTTTATTCACTTCTGGAGCAGACACTAGTTAGCTACTAGTTAGCCAGCAATGCTAATCAAGGCAAACAAATGTAGTGAACGCAGTGACTCTCTACTACAGCTAGCTTAACTTCAAAATCTGAGAATAATTAGCAAGGAGCTAACGGCATTCTGCAAGATAACAACGACCAGCCTGCTTAGCCAAGCACACATCCAACAGTGACTCTGCTTTTCTTCATTGAGGCTAAGCTAATGCTAAGTAGCCTTTCCATTCATGGACTGAACATCCACTGCATTGTAAACTAACTTTGCACGGCTAAGCTAGCATCGAACTGCTATACTGTTGTAAATGTTTCTACGTGTGTTGATTTGTTTTTTTCAGAATCTGAGCTTTAGTGTGTGATTTATAGAGTGGTGCAGTGCTGACGTATTTTTTTAAGGTCAACGCAGAAGTTAGCATCATCTCTTGACAAAATGCTATGGGATTTTCATGTTGGATTTCGGTATATTTCAGAGAGTAATCTCTGTGTCAAACAAACGTTTATGATGCTTACACATTTTCTTTAGCAAGATGTTTTTTTGGTGGCTGTCTTTTATTTAATTTTCGTAGTGGCCATATGGTGGTACTGCACTTGTGTTATATTCTGGGACGTTTTATGACTTTTTCCCATTGACTTACATTGGGGAAATAAATGTATGTAAATCAGTGTATAATTTGTTTTCAGCTAAATAAACTACCCATTACAAAAAAAGTCTACAGCCTTTATTCAGAATCGCTTTGGGTGCAGTGCACTTTGTTGTAATTACATTTGTTCCCCAGCCTTTTTTCCTCAAGGGCCCCCATTTTTTTAATTGAGCAATTGACGACACACAATGAGTGTTAAGTTGCATATTTCTTGTATATTTCTTTTTAAATCCATAATACATAAACATAGATGTACAACCCAAATATAATGAGCCTAAGTTATGCAGGGAGTTGGTATAAAATAAGCAAACGGTTGTTATTTCCTCCGAACAGAAAATATTAACACATTTTGACCTGTGCAGGCATGAAGGATAAAATATAACAAACACACACACACACACACACACACACACACACCACCTTCTCTGAATAAAGCCTGCAGGAATGATCGGCAGCATTTCCTTTTTATCTGTAGAATTACACACTGCCGTCCTGTAAATATTTATAGGCTTTTATCTGCCAGGGTGCGGATTATCGGCTTTGCGAAGGTACAGTAGCACACACACACACACACACACACACACACACACACACACACACACACACACACAGTTATCCGGATGTGTTGAGAGGACAAACAGCAGCGTGTCTGAATATGTATTTGCTGTCGCTGTGTAACAAAGTAGCTGAACACTTTAAACTTTATTTTTAAACTATGTTTTTTGACAAGAAGATATGTTGGGTATCTTTTAGGAAATTCTTCACATGTTCCTTCAAAATGTATTCATATACATTTTGACACTTCTTACATTAATTATATTTTTTAAAAATCACTTGTTTTCTAACACATTTTCTGAAATTCTCCACATTATTTTCAGAAAGTCTTCATATTTTTTGGGCCTTTTTTAAAACACTTTCCAGGTATTTTTAAAAGAGTATTCACATATTTTTGGGAGGCATTTTTCTCAAAATGTGTAGATTATTATATGCTGTTGGGTTGTTTAAAAGCAATGCATTATATTCAAGGTTCAAGGTTCTTTATTTGTCATACGAACATACAGTGTAGTAGCCGATGATATTCTTTGTTCAGGCTCCTCCAACAGTGCAACACAAAACACAGACAAATATAGTGCAAGTAAATAGTAATATAGTAAATACAAAAAGAAAAATAGTTTAAAAAAGTGAAATAGAAATAGAGTCTATATGCAGTTATTGGAATTATATATTAGATACATAGATAAATAATTATGAAGTAGCAGATTAATGTTTAAGATCATAAAGAAAATGCAGGTATTTTTTCCAAAATGTTTTACTTTGTTATCCGAAGATTTCACATATTTTCTGCACATTATTTAAACATTTTACATATTTTTTTAGGACATTTTGTCAGGGTATTTACCACACAATTTTAAGGAAGATTAAGTCAAACATGTACTTAGATATATTACTTCACTGAAATGCTCCTCTGTTTGTTTTACGAACATAACGTTTAAATCTGGTCATGGCATTAATTATCCTTCACATCATTACGGGAAAAAAAACAATCAGGAAACTCAGAGCCTCGAGCTGCAGTGCATCATGGGAGTGTGTGTGTGTGTGTGTGTGTGTGTGTGTGTGTGTGTGTGTGTGTGTGTGTGTGTGTGTGTGTGTGTGTGTGTGTGTGTGTGTGTGTGTGTGTGTGTGTGTGTGTTGCAGGGTGTTTGACTGCCAGCGGGTCCCCTCCTCCAGTCCTGTGAAGCGGCGCCGGCCTTCATCTCCCTCCTCCTCCTCTTCTTCCTCAGCAGCTCTGAGGATGAAGAGCACCAGAGCCTCCTCTTCCTCTCACAGAAAACGTAAGCAGTGGTGGAAAGTGAATATACGTGGATGTACTTAAGTACTTTACTCATGTACAATTATAAGGTATTTGGAAGACAAGGCAAGTTTATTTAGATAGCTGCTCCATCGCTTCTCTTGGACTTAAAATCTCTCTGTACATTTATATATTCAGATTAATATTTAATATTCCATCCCTCACATACTTATGTATAATAACTTGCTTTATATTTGTTATTGTTCATTTGTAAATTCAACATGTATATTTCTACTTTATTTCTAGTCTTTTTAATTGTTATTGTACAATGCCATGTCAACACAAGGCTATTCAAAGGGCATTAAGAGCATAAAACACATGGTGGACGTACTGTCACTTACTTTTGCAGACACCAAAATACATGGCGTTGACCTAATACTCACATTCATTATATATGTTGAATAAATAGAGATTGTCTTTGCAATGGTACTAAATAAATACGTTTAAAAAATCGTTTTATTAATAAATTGCAATTTATTTAAAATGCCAAGTTCAAAGAACACTTTGATCATACATGGAAGTGGAGCCTATAGTTTTCATTTAAAAGATTTATTTTTCAATAACTAAATCTCAGTCACATTTACATAACATTACATACATTAAATATAACACTGAAATGGTAAAAACAAAACAAATTAATAATATCAAATAAATGTCAGTCACCCAAAATGACGTCATTGGTGTTACTGCTACACAAAACGCTTTTATTTTGAAATAATGTACTGTCTCTGAAGAGCTTCCTGTAACAAGAGATCCTTTGAGGCAGTGCAGTGGACAAAGACATAGATAGTCCAACACAGTCTCACGGCATTTTGTGTTATAGTCACGACATTAATCTATTGATTCGTGTTCGCCAACACGATTTCGCCATTTTTTTCGTGTCACACAGAACGATTTTAAAAGCAATGTAAATAATAACAAATTAGAAGGAAAAAGACATTTAAAAAAATACAGATTTAAGTATTCTGACACAGAACGATTTTAGAAGCAATGTATTTATATTGGTAGTATGTTTCGTGCCTGCACCAAATAATAACAAATTAGAAGGAAAAAAAGATGACATAAAATACAGATGTCAGTATTCTGAGGCTCTGAGACATTTCTTTTCCTCACGGACGGCACAAAAACTCAGACATTATACAATTTAAAATAAAAGGGATAGGGTTAGGCTTAGGGTAAGATATTGAGTAAGAACATGTTTTCATGAACCACACAGCTTCTGGTCTTCCAAGACCCGACCGGACAAAAAGACGTGTTGCAGGCACGAAACATACTACCAATAGAAATACATTGCTTTTAAAATCGTTCTGTGTGACACGAAAAAAATGTGAAAATCGTGTTGGTGAACACGAATCAATAGATTAAATTCATTTCGTTTAATTTTCGTTAAAACACGAAATGCCGTGAGACTGGGTTGGGCAGTGCAGTGGACAAAGACATAGATAGTCAGATACTTCTTACTTTGTTTGTTAAAGATGTCATTTTATCTTCGAATTTTACGTGCAGCTTTTAAGTCTGTCATTAGTGTTGCTCATTGCATAGCCCTAGGGGGGAACATTTGAACAGGAAAATGTTTTGCATTGAAGAGTTAAACAGTTTTGATATTGACTGAAGCCATATGTGGTCTTACACATGGCAGCCATTTTGTTAAAATGTTAGTGTTTTCTCCAAATTGTCACTGGTGTTACTCTTCTTCCTGGTAACACGTAACACCAGTGACGTTCCCATATCAATAAGCTTTGTATAATGTATACAAATTATAAAAACAATAAAAATACTTTAAGCTCTACTTGTTGTGGATTCATCAAGTTAAGAGTTAGTTATTGCTATTCAACAGGTTTTTTTAGATGTATAAGAAGTCATATATTTCAGCAGATTTGTATCATCCAGATTCCACCTTTTCTGTAGAATGACCCAAAACATGAATAACACAGGTACATGAATACAAGTTACAGTGCAGTGTGAGATGTGAATAGTTCAATTAAAGGCAGCGTCAACAAGGAAAGTTAGCCTGGATTTAAAAGTAGTCAGAGTTGCAGCGGACCTGCAGGTTTCTGGGAGTTTGTTCCAGATATTTGGAAATACCCCGAACCAGATTCTCACATTCCTCTACCCCTAGTCTTCCTGTGAAAATATAGTTCTTTTGGCACTTTTCTAAATCTATACTTTACTTGAGTATTTTCATTTCATGCTACTTCCTACTTCCACTCCTCGACATCTCTGAGCGAATATCATTTATATTATTATCTGCTGTATTTTATGCATGCTTAAAGGTCATGCTATTTGTAGGCAATAGCATAGGTTCCTTCCTCAAGTTGTTAAGTGGCACGTGATACCAAATACGTTTTTCGACCTGGATCTTCTGCATCCATGGCGCCCCAAGAGTTTCCTTTAACCCCGCTTACTATAGTTGACTTTTATAACAGGAGATACTCTTTAGTCTAGGGTCATTCAAGTTTTTCCCCAATCTTAGTCAATAGAAAACAGTATTTTTTGGCCTGATGGCATCACGCTGAGGATCTGGAAGTTGTAACTCCACCGTTTGGCCACTAGGGGAAATTGGTTTCAAGGCCCAGCGCTCTTTCTGGGGGCTTGGCTTGTGGTGGATATCTTGCTAATGAGGATTTTCACTTACAAACTAATGGTATGCAGTATTATAACATCTGTTCATGTTGGCTTAGTTCAGTGACTACAGTGGTGCAACAAGGAAGAAGGTACTATCCACAACTTCTGCTAATGGAACATCTAAAAAGACCGAGTCCATGAACCAGGCAGGGGGAATGCATGCATGCTTCATAATTAATATTAAGCTATTTTGAACTCTTTTCTTTTGCTGTAACAATGCACATTTCCCCTCTGTGGCACGGATACAGCTCTGCTGTTTTCTCCAGTCTCTCTCGGTGGTCTCCAGATGGTCTCTTCATTAAAAGCTTCTGTACCGCGGGGCTCTTTTCTCTCTTAAAACCCATCAGCGCTCGCAATTAGACCGAGTTAATAGTGCGTGGCAAATCAGAATTGTTTATACTAGTTTATTACAAGCCTTAATAGTTTTTACTTCGCCCCATCACGAGGAAATTAGATTGCCTTTGCATGCTCCCGAGGTCGAAGCGCTCTCAGGAGTGAAGTCATTTTCAGGGTCGTTTGGCGAGGGTGGAGGAACCAAAACCAAATTCTGATCCATTTTCACGAGTGTTTCAACAAGGGGGAAATCC